GAACAAAATGACATTGCAGATTTTCAAAAACGGACTCTGCCAGAGTGGAGAACCCATTGCCCAGAAAACTGGACTTTAATTAATTTGCTACTTCGGTTGGAGTAGCCGATTTTTATCCTCTGAGCTTTGGTTTAGATTATCAGAGCCAGCTTGTTAAAGTAGTTATCATACTAAAATATATGCATACAGTTTCTGTATTATGCTATGAGTACAAATTTTCCACAGATTGCTGTCTGTACCTTGCTATGTGTGTTTTTGATTGGGATTTATTTTTCTAGGGTTTGTTTCTGGTGTGCTTTGGGCGATAGCCAACTGCTGCTGGTTCATAGCCAATCACTATCTCAGTGCTGTGGTCAGCTTTCCAATAATTACTGCAGTAAGTATATAAAAAATAAAATCTATTACTAGAATTAAAAGTGAAGGGTTTATACCCTCCTGTTTATGGAATTAAATTGAAATTATGATGAGTCGAGAGCATTTTTAATTAATTGCCTCTTCTGCTTGTCTGTGCTAGTCTCTGGATTTTTAGAACGTAAGTGACTGTGACAAGCACCAGAAGAATTGATACTGTGAGTCTTGAGGTTGTGTAAAACCCAAAGCTCTGTAACCAGAATTCTATCAATATTAACTGTTTAACTGAAGTGATTAGAAGAAGAAACATTTAGTGCTTTCATCCCAGGATGAAACTGTTTTAATTTGTGAGTTTTATCCCCTAACAGTCATTTTGCTTTATTAAGTCAGGTATTTTTTCTTTTTACAGTCCTCAAATGAACAGAACAGATTATGTACTGTTGAAAATAATGTTCTTAGGCAAATGAGGGAGAAACAGGTTGGCCTGTTGTCTGTTTTATTCCTGTTTATGATACTGTACCTTTAAAGCATTGTTAATTTCCAAAAGCTGCATAAATTCCATCACTAGGTAAAAATACATTTTGCGTTTACTTTCTTGCCAATGTACTAGTTAGTGATGCAGAAGTGGCAAATGAGCATTAGTAAATATCAAAACCAAAGTTTTGCTGAACAGCTCTATTTTGGAAGCAAACTAATGAAAACTTTAATAGGGATTAAGCTTTGCCTCAAGATACAGTAAATCACAATAAACTCTGCAGTATGCAATGCAAAAAAGGCTTGGGATCATTCTAATTAGAAACTGAAGGATTAATGGAAAGCAGCTTTAGTAACTTAGTTATCAGTATGCCTAAAGGGCAAGGATATAAAATCACAAAATGAAAAATGTAAGGAGAGCACTGTTGAGAAATTGCCTGTCTGGACCACAGGTTCAGAACTGCTGCTTTACTTCACCCTGGAGAGAATTTCAGAGAGCTATTCATCACATCCCTTTAACAATTTTTTTCATCTTTTTGAATGCAGTTTTCTTGCAGTGTACATTATCTAGAAAGTGAAGCAACACCTCAAATAGTTGTTGGCAGCTTCGCTAGGAAACAGCACCCACACATACATTCAGCATGAGGTACTGTTTCCTGCTGGTCTGTATCTGTATCCCATCAGCTGTACTGAAGATGGAGAGAGGAAGGTCACTGGCCAAACATCTGTCAAGTGTTTCTCAGAGCAGCTCTAATGGGAGGCATTAACAGAGCCAGTTTTTGCTTCATATTCAGATATTTTCTCAGCAGACATGAAAATTCAGGTCATTACTCCCCCAGGGGAAAAACTGTATTACCAAGAGTGCCTGGAAGTTGCCATTGTGTATCACTGTTTGCCGTTAGCTAGGAAATCTGTACAACAACATCAGTAATCAGTAGTTTTCCTGATCTGTCCCTCTGGCTGGCTTTGTGCTTTGTCCAGATGCCAGCTATACAGGAAATACATCTGTATTCCAGTCTCTTGTTATCATACTGAGCGATAAAAACCAAATTTGGTCCAACTAGTTAGTCATCCTAATAAAGGAAAGGTTAGGAATATCCATGGTAGCTGCCAATAAACATGAATAGTCCTCTGAAAGTTGGTAACATTGTGGACTCTAGTTTGGACTAAAGTGAAGCATGTTATTTGGAGCCTACTGAAAGAATATGTAACAGCCAGGGCAGACTCGACAGTGTAATTTAGAAAGAAATTGTGCCTACCCAAAAAAAAAAAAAAAAGGCAGTCTCTTAGCTCTTTAGCCCTTGATGCAGATTTTATGATGTCTTACTTAGTAAAGATTTTAGCAATGTTTATGCTTTTGTCATGAGTGCTTTACTTACATGGAATGGAAAGGTCTGAATGTGTTTTCCAGACAAAATTCAACCACCCTGAAAGCAATAATGAGAAGGCAGTAAATTTTAATGAAATGCTGTAATGTACAAATGAATCTTATCCTTTAGGGTCCTGGCCTTGTTGCTGCAATGTGGGGTGTCCTTGTATTTAAGGAAATCAAGGTAATGTTATTAGGTCTCTTGCCTAATCTCTGTTGCGTGCCTCTAGCACTGGAAACAGCATGACTTGGTATACAGCTGTATCTCAGATTTCTTCTCCTTACAAGTACTGCATTATGAAACTGAAAGTCATATCATGTAATACTAAGTTTTCCAAGAAACATGAAGAACTGTGAACAATTTTTACAGGAATGAAGATTTTATTCCATAGCTGTATGAGCAGCAGTGGATGTAAATGAAGACTGTGGCACAGCCAGAAGGCAGAATGCCAGGCACAGCCTGAAGAGTTTTCATTTGAGCCAGTTCTTTCAGTGAGGGCAGAGGAATGAGCTCCTAATACTCATATAGACAAGTAGGTTAGACTTTTAGGGTCAGGGACTAAAAAATGCAACAGAGGTTAGTTGGCCTTTACTAATTACAGTGCAATGTAAAGATCCTAAACTGATATGGCAGTGATTGCTAATTTAGTGGATTATTAACGTATAGGGCAGAAGTTATTTTCCTAGTGGACTTTGAAGCATTGAGTGCTGGCAGCATAATACCAGGTTCTCTGAGCTAATCTATCCAGGATCCATAGGTACCTGACTTGCCATTAGAGATCATATTTCCCAACATTTTTGGTGTCTGTGTAAAATGCATTGAATCTAGAACTGGAAGTTCTGTGTCTCCCACTGCAGATTAGTGTTGCACTACACTAGAAGATCATCACATTCATTGTCTAAATCTTCGTAACTCTCTAAATCTTTCATTCTTTTCATACATTTTGGAATAGTCTCTGCATAAGTGCTTGCTGCTTAAAAATAATCTGAAAATAGACAAAGGCCTTTAAAAATACCTTTAAAAATTGCTGAATTAGTTTTGCAAATGTTTTACTAAGTGTATGTGATAATAGATTATTTGCATTAAACTTTTCAACAGCAGATAGTTTACAAATATTATATGAAATGAAAAGGTATAAAATTTACCATTTCATATAATAGATATTTAAATTTTGTCTTAAGACAAAATCCTAGAAGAAGAATCTTAGTTCTTTATTTAACTTCTGTTTAAGGTGGTATCTAGTATGACAAGGTATTTTTCTATTTCTCTCCCTTTGCCTATACAGGGACTGAAAAACTACGTGTTGCTGTCAGTATCATTTTGCATCATTATGGCTGGCTCACTTTCCACAGCTTTTTCTAAAGTTTGAAAGGACCTTCTGGGCCAGTAGATGGTGCTAACGTTTAACGTAAATAGAAAGACAATGTTGGTAGATTGCAAAACATAATTTTAACATTTTCCCTAATTTGCTTCAGGCAAGTGAAAAATAAAGCCATTTGGCATGAAAGAAGATCTGGAAATGTTTGTTTCTGCATTTCTTGAAACAGTAAGAGTATTAAAGGATTTTGTTAAATAAAATTAAATGATTTTACAATTACAAATCACTGTGTTTTTTCTGGTTCAGGTACTAAACTTCATGTCATCATAAATTGCAATTTACTGTTATGAAGGTGATTAAAGGGAGTTTAATTCTTAGTCTGTAATATGTATTTATTTCCAAGCTGATTTATTTCACATTTTGTCTTACTGAGTTAAAAATATGTCTTGAAATATTCTTCATGGAACTGATACACATGAAGATAACACAACTTTTATTTAATTTCGAAGCATTATTCTTCAAAGTCATCAGTTTACCTAAATGTTATCTGCTGGTCACTACAGGATTGTTAAGTAAATAGAGGGAGGAAAGTGCTGTGAAATAAATTACTTTTGTTTCACATTTTTCATAACCACCACTAACATGGAAAACTGTTTAACTCGTGTCAGGTAACCTTGAAATATGCAAAGAATGTAGTCTGAACCTCCCCTTAGATTTTTTTCTTTAGTACATTAGACAACTCCAGCTCCTGCAGTCTTCCCCTGTTTGTAATGTGCTCGTAATTTCTTTCCTGATCGTAGAATGGTTTGGGCTGGAAAGGACCTTTAAGATCATCTAGTTCCAGCCCCTCTGCCATGGACAGAGATGTCATTCACTTCACCAGATTGTTCAGAGCCCCATCCAATGTGGCCTTGAATGCTGCCAGGGGTAATGTATCCACAGCTTCTCTAGGCAACCTGTTCCAGTGTTCCACCACCCTCTGAGTAAAGAATTCCTTGCTAACATCCAATCTAAACCTACCCTCTTTCAGTTTAAAACCATAGCCCCTTGTCCCATGAGTGTCTGCCCATATAAAAAGTTCCTCTCCCTCCTTTTTATAAGCCCCCTTAAGGTACTGGAAGGCCACAATAAGGACTCCCCAAAGCCTTCTCTTGCTAAGTGAACTGGATCTGTCTAGAAAACCAAGATATGGCAGTTGGGCTGTAGTCTCAGAAAAACCAAGAAGAGCATAAGTAAAATTATTTTCTTTCTCCATCCAATTTCCAAGCTCCGTTCATGATTCCACATTGTAGTACAAGATGTAGTGCAAGTAAAAGATGACGCTTTTCACCATCGTGGCTTGATATTGCTAACGTGTTCAGATTGCAGTCATAATTTCTCCTTTCTCCCTTCCACTCTTTTTTGTCTGCTCTACCAGATTTGATCTTAGAACTGTCACTTAACCTGTTTTTTTCCTAGCTTGTATTCTTTATTCCTACCCTAGTGTCTGACAGGTTGTTTCCCCCTTAAGGCATTTCATTTTGGTCTGTATGTTAACTGTGTGCTCCAACAAGCTGGCAGCATTTTCTAGTCAGATGTCATCTGCAAACTTAATAAATATATTCTCTAATTGTTGTAAATAATTAATGAAAATGCTGCATGATGCTGGCCCTTAATTACTTTTTGGAATCTAATGTAATACTTCTTTTCACTCTGACAGGGAACAATTGATTGCACTTTTGAGTACAATTTCTCTCTGTCTTATAGTGGTTTTATTTAGACTGCGTTCTCGGAGCCTTTACATAACATCTGATACAGTTGTTCAAGTCAAAGTACACGATGTGTGCCACCACAATACCTGGTATTGGACAGAAAACTGGTCTTTTTTCTGTCCAATATCCAGGTCAGACACAATTTCTCATTGACAGATTCTTGACTTACCTAGCCATTTTTCTCTTGATTCACACAAGAAAAAGTACTATGTGCACATGTTTTTGAAATAACTTGAATTAAATTGTACATTTATAGTTTCCCTGGATCTGTTTCCTTTCTTAAAGAACACAGTCTTAAAGGTTCCCTTCTTAAATATTCCTGGAATATACTCCATGCCAGAAAATTGCTTATAGACAAAGAATTGGCAAAACCAAAATACAGTGTTTTCAGGCTCCTCTACTTTACAGATATGCTTTAATATGACAATTTTTTCCCAGACAGTATTACTTGTTATTCCTATGTCGCTGTTCACAATTGTGTTAACATTGCCTGTGATCTGTTTAAGACTGAAGGAACAAGGGTGCTGTTCACTTTAGTTTACAAAGTCATTGCTGAATAGAGGCAGATTGTCTCTTATTTCTACACAAGTACTGACAAAAATACTAGTCTTGTAACTCCCTATTGTGCTAAAGTAATTACAATGCTATATGATATTTATAAAGATAGTGTGATTACAGCTCCAGTCTGTAATCTGCCCACCAGTCTGCACAGAGGGCACCTCTCCAGGTTGGCTCCCTGGGTCCCTATACAAAGAAGTTGTCATCGTGGTGTTCTAGGAATCTGCTGGACCTGTTTGTACCAGCTGCATGGTGGTCCCAGTTGACACCTGGCAAGGTGAATGCCCTTACAAGGACAAGGGCAGCTGGTTTGGAACTGTCCCTTGGTTCCTTAAAGAATAATTTGTTGGTGTCATCACCCTGACTGGGTGGCCAATAGTAGCCTCCCACAATGACAATGCACAGTGTTCTCTAACTGGTGTCCAGAATTATGGCCACTTTAGATAAAGAAAAGAAACTTAGGTGCAATATTCCACGCCGAACTGTCATACGGGAAATGTTATAAACTTTACGTTCTATTCATTGTCTCTACAATATCCATGATTTTAAAGACTCATGATATTAGATTTGCTACAGGAAAAAATCCCAGCTAAGTAACCAGCTGGGTTTTCTTCTTGACAACTAGACGCACTAGGACCCAGCTCAACTATGGAGATATATGGGTCTCTGACTGTCATTATTTCCTTGATTGTGAGAGGCAGCACTACATCATTCTCCTTTCTCTTCTTGCCATGATACCATGATATTAGATGGTATTAGAGCTTCTACTATCTCTCTTGAGGGATGCTCTTAGGTTAACTTCTGGTATGGGCACAGCATCCATCTACCAGATATGATTACAAGGAACAGTTGAGTCCTCCAGGGCAGGAGCACCTTTATGTTTCCTAGTTTCTGTACAAGGTCATTTGCTTTCTGAAACAAACCAAAAACCTGAACTCCTGACCACAGGAATTGCCATGTAAATGTATGTAGTTTGATGCAGTCCTCCAGACTGTGTTGTGAAACTATCAGATGTGCAAACTTAATTGCTGATTGCTAGGTTGTTAATTAAAATTCTTATTTGTGAAGGCTCAAGTATGACCTTTATTAAATGGTTTTCAGCTGCTATCCTATTAGATTTGACTTTTCAGCTGCAAAAAAAAACCCCACTCTTGCAGCATGTTTCTGTGAAAAATGCCATGTGGTAATTTATCAGGATTTATGGTTTAAATATGTATGTATTCCAAAATAGTTTTTGTGATGTTCACTTGGAATATGTTGTATAAATATTCCACTCATTTCTGAGATTTTCTTGGTCTTGAAGTTTCAAGTTTTAAGTAATGCTGTTACTTCTTTTATGTTAGAATGCTGGATTAACAGCATGTTTATAGAGCTATTTGTACAAAACAGTCTGGCAGTAACTGAGTTTAGTAAGAGAAGATTCTGCAGCTAATATAAATTATCATGGTTGTGTTTATATCAGCATGTTTTTGTGTAAGTGGAAGAATTGCATTTCTTGGAGATAAACTTTCAAATATTTGTTTAGGCCTGTTGAGCAACTTTTAATTTGAGCTTGGTTTAAGAATTTTTCTCTGGTAGTACTTAGAGACAAAGTAGCCTTTAAAATTTAGGTAGTTTCTAAATTTTTGTGCAGTGTTTGGAACCAGGGAACTCAGTGTCACCTTTTTTTATCTTTCCCTTTCCTGTTTATTCCTTTCCCTATGCTTATTATACATCGATATTCCGACACTCACTGCCCTTCAGATTTTTAGTCCTTTATATACTTAGTAAAAATGATTGTTACATGAAAAAATATTTTTAAATACATTAGTTCCTGTCTTCAAAGTAAACAGCGAAGAATGGCCTTTTATTAACCTTATATAAATTTTTATATTTTATCTATATCATAATTTTCTTTTTCAACCGATATTCAAGATTGATTAAATACTATTTCAACAATCTGACCTGACCTTTGAGTTTTCTAGTTTCTGGCATGAAAATAAAATCAGAGTCAAGATGATGCATGCTGGCAATTAGTGTCTTGGGTCTTTTTAAAATTTGACCTTGCTTTCAAATACAAAACTGATGTTTAATGCCCTATTCCACAATTACTGAATGACTAATGGATTCCACTTTCTGTTAGCTATATATTATGCTGATAGATAGTGACTCTGAAGCATTTTAATTGCTGAACTGCTGGTTCTTACTTTTTTCATGCTTATCACAAAACAATGTTTAAAAATCTAAACTTTATATATTTTTGAAAGTAAACACTGGACAGTTCTAATGCCTCTTATTGCAACAAAGGGCCTGTTTGAGAGTCTAACCTGAGAGGATATAAGACTCAAAGGAAACAGGATCTGCATTAGTCCTGCTAGTATCAGTGATTCAGGTAGTCTGACACTACCACGCACTTGTAGATTGTGCATCTAACTCCTAATGACATCAGGTTTTGCTATTTATATAGGAACCAATGCAGTAGCAATGACATAAATTTCACCTGGAGATGAATTAGTTATTTCCCATGTCCTAGCATTTTTTGTGCTGTGGATCTTCTAAAAATGTTGCCTGCAGAACTGGGAAACAAACCACATGGTTCCCAGGGCCAAAGCCTGGTGGAGGTGGGGAGAGAGCTCTGAGCTAGTCTTGCTGAGCCCATAGGCAAGCCTCAAAGGACATTGTTAGTTGTTACCATTCATGGACCAGAGAAAAAATTATACCCTCTAACTGATGAGTCATTCTTCCTTTTAATTATTTGTGGAT